CATCATTGTTGTTTGGCGGGTCCGGGCTGGGGATTCGAACCCGCCACCTTAGGTGTATGTGGCTGGCGCCTTAGCCACTTGAGCCACAGGCACCGAGCCAAACCTTGCTTTTTCATAGACAGATTCAGTGTCTTTCAAATCCAAAGTTAAGTTTCAACCTCTTTTACAAGTCTGTCCCCTCTAATTACAATCTCTCCATTTATTCACATTCTCTTGCTCTTGATATCCATATGACTCAATTCAGCATGAACCAAGTGCGACAAAACAGTATGTTTCATTCTGTAGTCTATAAACTCTTAAAGTTCACTTTTTTTTTTTTTACTTTTTCCGCAAGTATCTGGAACAGTGTTGAGTACATTGAATAAAATAGAAAAAAACAGACATTTTAATATTTTGTTAGTTATTTTCAGCCTAGGTTTTAGTAAGTTTTACAAAATGGAAACTCAACCCACCCTTTTTTTCTTTGCTGTGAAACTATGGTAAGGAATCATTTTGAAGTTTCTTAAACTGAAAAGTAAAAGATAATTCCTACATATGCTAAATTTGTGGAGTTAAGTAATTTGAACAAAATTGACAAGCTGTTCTTGAGGTGATATACTTCTTAACTTTACTAGTTGCTTTAACCTGTTTTAGAAAGCTGAATTCCGAGCCAGAACTTCTAAATTATTAGTAAGAGGAACTGCTGGTGTCTCTCTCCAATCCCCAGTCACAGCGTGTGAGTGGTTGTTAGTCATATGCCATAATAATCCTAATGGACAGTTTAAAGGCATCTTTTACCCTATTTTCTTTTCTTTGAGTCTGCTCAGCAAGTGCACTCTAATCACGTGAGATTCCTCACCAAAGAGATTTTCCGGTTAAAAATGAAAATTTTGCTAAAGGTTCTATGAATTTGGGTAGAACAGCGAGGAGAATGACTTTGAAATTGTTAAATATTATTAAGGGGGAATCCATTAATATACCTTTAGTTTGGGGAAAATAAAAGCATTTCTTTATCCACATCAGGTATGTCAGATTTCAGCCTGGAACCAATTATTAGACTTGAGGTATTGAACTCAATAAAGAGATTTGGAAGGGATATGCTAACAGACCTTTAACCATAGCTAGGCTAGGAGGTGCTAAAAGAATCTTGAGGATTCATCAGCCAAACCTCTGACCTCACTACCCTTAATCATCCTTGCTTGTCAGTGACATAATTGGCTGCTTACTGCCTTTTCCTTTCAGATTGCTAGTATTTGAGAATTTCATTTGACATTTTTGTGTATTAAGACAGAAAGCATAGTTTGGTGGGTTAGTTACGCCATTTGGGTCCCTTTAGGAAAGAAAATGGAGTGTGTTTTGTTACTGATGCGGCTGAGACAATTGCTGAAAGTTCAGTTTTAGCTTCTTAAGGAGAGGGTAAATGTTTATAGATTTTTTTTTAGATATACTGTTAACTGCTGAATTGTTATGTCTTATGAGGCATGGGACCAAAGATGTGGACTAGTATTGTGTTAGGATGAAATTACTACTCAGAACTTACTTTTATCACTTTGATCAGAGTTCCTTTTAGAACCCAGAGAAGGTAAATCTATGGGATTCTCTGCTAACATTTTCAGAAGAAATTTCCCCTAACTTTCCCATAGGATGCGTGGATCAGAGAATGCAATGACTAAGTAAAAACTTTGTAGAAAAATGGAGGCAAGGCAGTGAGAGAAGAAAAAGGTGGGCAAGGAATAGAAAAAAATAACTAAGCCAGTGAGCTGGTACACTTAGGAAGCAGAGAACTATTTTATGGGTTATTTCAGTGGCTAAAATTGGTTCCAGGGCATATGTTTTGTCTAACCGTATAGCTGGTCACAGAATTCTGCTGTTCCATTTATGTGGATCATAAGAAAATACCATTTCCATAAGTAAAAAATGGTTGAATATAAAAAATTCCCAATATTTTGACCTAATACATCACAACATGTAATATAGGATGGGTGCAGTTGCAGAGAGGTGGAGATTTTGTGTGTGTGTGTGTGTCTGTCTGTCTGAGAAGGACGAGGAAACAGAAACTTGCATTTCCATTGTCTATCCCTTTGGAGTACCACAGCTGAAAACTATCTAACCTGTGGTTTTAGGCATTCAAGAACAAATAAAATTGCCCTAGTATGTTTTCATATTTCCATATTAATACACTTGAGACAGTTCATGGGATGGGTTAAAAAATAAACCATCTCTGACAGAGATTAACATTTGGGATAAAAATCTGGAGTGACTGGTGTCCACAAAGAACAACAGAAGTGGCAGACACTGAAATGCAGGATCCCTACACTTGGAGATACAGTACTTTGAAACTGAAGAATTAGCAGTATAGCATGGCCCCTGCACAAGGATGACAGGCAAATTCATGAAGCGTTCCATATTTTTAAGTTGGAATATATCCTCCCCCTCCCCCCCAAAAAGAATTAGCAGTATAACATCCATCCTATAGGCCAAATAATTGCAAATTATTTATCTTAAATAGGTTTTATGATGTTTCTAGTGGAATATACAAGTTGTGCTGATTTGACTTTTTGTCTTTGTTAGACGAGCTCATCTGCGCCTGTGTTTAGAACGCTTAAAAGTTCTGATTCCACTAGGACCAGACTGTACCAGGCATACAACACTTGGTTTGCTCAACAAAGCCAAAGCACACATCAAGGTGAGAACTTTTACTTTCAGATTTGCACAATTCTTTTGGTTTTGTTTTAAGTTGGCAGTGATATACATCAGCTAGCTTACTGTGCTCTCTTTAATAACTGACCTCAAGAGAAATCTTTTAAAAACTTAACAGCTAATCTGATGGGAGCAACATAACCTGATTAAAGTAAATCCTTTTGACGGTGTGGCCATTTGAAGAACTAGGAACACTAGGAAGTAACAATTACCGTCCTTATACTCAGAAAGAAGGCAGTTGTGCCCTCTGGTGGAGATGACTTCATTTAGCTGTGTTCCTCAGTATTTTTCCATCAAACACCACACTACAGAGGAAGTTTCTCTGTAGAATACGTCACTGACTTTTAGAATTCCATCTTGTTCAAGTAACATGGCATTCATTTCACACACGTAAAGACTGAACTATTTTGGATACTTAAAAAATACGTATTTATTTTATATATGCATATACATCTACTTGTATATTCATTTCTATGTCAAAGAAAAAATCTTTTAAAATGTTAGGTAGAAATTGGTTTTATTGTTTGTACTGGACTATACACAAGCATAAGTATAATTTCATCATTATAGAAACTTGAAGAAGCTGAAAGGAAGAGCCAGCACCAGCTTGAGAATTTGGAACGAGAACAGAGATTTTTAAAGCGGCGATTAGAACAGCTGCAGGGTCCTCAGGAGATGGAACGAATACGAATGGACAGCATTGGATCAACTATTTCTTCAGATCGTTCTGATTCAGAGCGAGGTAGGCAGTATGCCTCTTCTCTAATGAAATACTAAGCATTTCTGTATCTGGAAATAGGGGAGGGTATGTTGGGAAGCACTGTATTTGTCTTCTTTTTAGCCAATAATTATATTATTATCCATTATATTTTGTCTAGCAATGCCTGTATGAAGTACAGAACTATTTTTTTCTTGAAAATATATGTATATATCTTTAACTTTCTATTTTGAAATAATTTTAGACTTATGAAAAATTTTAAGATTTCAGTAGAAAATGATAGTTTTCATATACCCTTCACCCAGCTTCCCCTAATGTTAACATCTTACATGATTTTATTCCATAACACATTATTAAAAGGAGGAAATTAACATTGATATAATACTATTAAGTAATCTGTAGAGTTCATTCAAATTCTACCAGTTTCTCCATTGATGTCCTTTTTCTTGCAGGATCTTTGGCAGGATCCTACGTTCATTAGATAGTTGCTGGCCTTTCTTTCATGACAATAACACTTTTGAAGAATAATGGCCAATTATAGTGTCTCTCAATTTGGGTTTGTGTGATCTTTTCAAATGGTTAGGTCAAAGCTGTATGTTTAGGGCAAGGAATATGACAGAAGTTCTTACTGTGCTTTCAATTAATTGTGATAGATGATGTTGATATGTTTTATTACTGGTGGTGATAAGTTTTATAGGTATATTTTAAAGTACCACACCCTTCAATTCTCTTTCCATTTTTTCCTACAATTTTTATCTTTGGCAGAATTAAAGAACAGAAATCAACCAAAAAGAAATGGTTTGAATTATATTGATTTGTTTATCTATAATGCCCACCATGTCAGGCCTTATACCTCAATAAAAAAGTTCAGAGGTGAACTGGTAATTTTACATCTTACATTTGGGAAAATAGAGCTTATGAGACCTTGAGGATTCTAAAACATTAAGCCAGTGACAGCTTTCTTTTGTTTTTAAGGACTTTGATTTTTATTATTTTTGTTTTGACTTCCTATAGTGGAAATTTTCAAACATATTCAAAAGTAGAGAGTATAGAATAATGAACTCCCACTCACCACCAGTAATAAAACGTGTCAATATATAGTCACCAGCCACTTTGAACAGCTGTCAGCATTCTGTCATTCCTGTTTCATCTGTTCCATACCACCCTCATCCTCAATATTTTTTATTGGAATATTTTAAATCACCACCCAGGTAACATCATTTTGTCTCTAAATTTTAATATGTATCTTGAATACATAGGGCTTAAAAAATGTAGTTATAAAGTCAGATAATCTTATTTATGTCATCTAATGTCCAGTCTGATAAATTTTCTCCAGTTCTCTCAAAAATGGTATTTAACTTCTTGGTTAAATGGTATTTAATAAGTTAAATGGTATTTAGCATTTTTGAATCAGGATCCAAAGTCCACATTGCATTTTGGTGTGTGCCTTAATCTATCAGAATTTTTCCTCCTGCACTTGTTTTTTCATACCATTTTGATAGAAACAGAAAACTGACTTACACCTAACATCTCATAAAGACTTCTTCAGGAGAGATAACATGAATGAATATGTGAGTGTGTGTCTGTAAAACAAATATTTTTTAAACATCAAGAAACTGGGACATTTTTCTTACAGCTTCCCACATAATTTGTTTGATTATGGTGTCCTTTTAACATGTTCTTTTCCTCATATTTCCTGTAAACTGGGTGACAGATGTGAGATTACTTTGTAGATGGTGCTTTGTACTTCCTGTTGCATGAGTATTGTGTCTAGTTGTCTCACTTTTAGTGATGTTTGATTAATCAGTAGGTTCAAGCATTGTCATCATCTTGATACCTTCATATAAATGTATCAACCTTTCACTTAATAGTTTAGCAATCATCGATAATTTTTGCCCTGATTATTTCTTTAGGTGTTATAAGACTGATTTTCTAATTCTGTCATTTCCCTTGTGTTTGTTTTTCTTCTATAAAGAACATTTCCTCATCACCTTTTGGTTACCTTGAAATAAAGTTCAACGGGGAAGGTGGGATAAATGCTTGGTTTTCTTGCTTTATCAATTTTGCAAAGAGACTTGGTGCCATAGTGATTTCAGAGGTGACAAGTTTTGTTTTTTTCATTTTATGTCTAAACTCATATGTGTTTATGTATTAAATGTGTTTTGATCCATTGCAGTCATTCTTTTTAATTCTTTTCAATACTCAAATTGTCCCACATTTGGTTAGGAGGAGCCTTTCAAACTGGTTTTTATCTTTTTTAATACAACCCTAGCTATTGTTTTGTTCTATTTTTCTATGTAAATGGTTATTTTTATTTTATTTATTTTTTTTGAGACAGAGCCTCAAGCTGTCCCCCTGGGTAGAGTGCCATGGCTTCACTGCTCACAGCAATCTCCAACTCCTGGGCTCAAGTGAGTC